CACACACACACACACACACACACACACACACACACACACACACACACACACACACACACACACACACACACACACACACACACATAAACTGTGGGCACTAACTGTTATCGGTTGCTTCTTCAAATAATAGCCACTTTTTGTACGTCATATCAAACGCATCAAATGCAAATGGCTAATTTCCAATAAAGGTTTTATCACTATAATACTAGCATACTACAATATTGTCCAATACAACAAAACAAACTACTATAATCTAATGGTTCTAGCACAATAGGTACTTTTCATCGTAAATAGATTATTATTTCGTTTTACTGCATTTCAAAAATATGTATGGTTCATTCAAAATTGTTGTAAGTACTTTTTATGCTTGATTTTTGGTCAAAAATAATTGTTTACATTTTCATTAGTACCTATACGTCAGGTTCGTGTAGGTTGTATGTAATACATACATATTTTTTTTCTGGCAACAGTAAACCTTTTTTAATACCATTAATTTATTTAACATTATTATTAGTTGTCAATCAATATTAAATATTTTTATTTATCGATTTGTATAAATTACGGGGAAAATTAATTTCAAAGCGTTGGACCAAGCAATGACAGATACAAGCACGTGTTTATTGCATTATCTAAATAAATTGTTATACAATTATGCTGATTGATAACTAAATGTCAAAAATTCACCCGTGTATATTTTCTATTTTCAAAAAAATGGATGATACAACAAACATTTATTATGATATAGAAACGTTTTTATGTTTTTAATAATTTTTACTTAATTCTATAATTAATCTATAATTAACTAATAATTTATAATTTATAATTAATTATATCATTTATTTAAAAATACTTTTTACTTTTGTTTTTTAAAAATGGATTTCAACCATTTAACTGTCACAAATTTATCTATGAAATTTCTCGAAGGCGATTATCAAATGTCACTCATCATAAGTAAACCGAATTCACGAGTATAGTTTAATAGCAAACTGATAAGATTTTATTCTTGTACAACGATATCTTAAAACTATAATAGTTCAATTCAAATTGAACATAGCTGTGAATTATTTTTGAAACAATATCAATATTATATAAAACTACAGGTCTTACCAGATTTAACTAACTCCTTGATACTACAAAACAATATAGAGATTTGTCTATATCAACGTGAGTTGGCAAACAAACTTTACATTAACAAATTAACATTAAAAACTATCCTTTACCTTTGTGGCCATCCTTTATCCAATTACTGTAACTTTGGTACCTATTAGCTAGTCATATTTTAAGTACTACTAATCGTATGTGCCTTTCATGTTCATAGATCAGTCATCCTTTGAAACTTTAGTAATGTCAGTAAATTAACTTTTTTAATTTGCTTTGGAATAAGTAGGTAACTCTATTACAAATAACTTAGTTTGCAACAACATTTAAACTATCAATAAATTTGAGTTATCAAGATCTTACAATATTTATCAGTTAAATATCGATTGAATATTTATGAATAAGTATATTATTTTATAATTACATAAATAAAAATATCCATGGCTATTTCATCCTCAAAATCAGTTAGTAAGATCAAATAGAGCAACGAGTTAGCAATGATCCGCACGGGTCGTTAAACATTAGACGAGAGATAATGTTTTAAATGAAGTACTGTGCAGCTAAGTAGTAAGATGCCAAATAGTACGTAATAAATGGACCAATTTGATTCTATTTGAGTAGTTAAATCACGATTTCAACTCTTGAAACTTGATTTCAAGAACCTTGAACATACATTTGCACATATTATGCTATGTAGGTACTTTGTACATAAGTAATATATAAAATACTAAAATTAATAAATAATTGTTAGAAACAATACTTATGTTTTTAATTTTATGTATATTGTACAACCCACCAGTTGTCCTAAAAAATACTTCTATTCAGATACAAATTTTTTAAAAGTCAGCTAATTTCAACTTAATCACAAAGGAAGTTGCCATGTATGCATCCCAAAAAACTATATAGTTTTTTTAACTTACACACTTCCCAATTCTATAGAAACTCACCAAAATA